TTCTCCCCCCTCCCCCTTCCTCCTCCCCATCCTCCCCCTCCCCCTCCTCCCCTTCCCCTTCCTCTGAGCCCAGGTTACTTTGCTTCTGGTTTGTTTGAAGGGAAGCATCTTGAGGGCAGGACTGGGAGAGCGGGACACATAGCAGGTTCTTCACTATTTCTGTCTCCCTCCCCCCAGTTCACTCCAGCCATCCGGCCTTTCCTGCAGACCATTTCCATCGGGCTGGTCTCCTTTGGGGAGCATTACAAACGCAATGAGTCAGGGATCGGTGAGTCGTCCCCCCGGCCGCCCGGCTTCCCCCACCCCGGCCCTCACCGTGCCCCGGGCCTCCCCCTCGTCTCCCTGCTGCTCACTTCTCTCTCCCCTCTTGTCCCCTCCCCTTCCCCCCAACCTAAGCTGCACAGAGGGAGCTGTCCCCGCCTAGGGTGAGTCCTGGGCAGGGGAGGGCAGGGGCCTAGACCTCGGGGCCCTCCCTGAGCCCCCCACCCTCTGCCTTTCTCAGGCGTGGCTGCCAGCTCCCTCTTCACTGGCGGCCGCTTTGCTATCGACCCGGAGCTGCGAGGGGCTGAGTTTGAGCGGATCACCCAGAATTTGGATGTGCATTTCTGGAAGGCCTTCTGGAACATAACGGAGATCGAGGTCCTGTCGGTGAGTACAGCAGGGCCGTGGAAGGAGTGTTCGGAATTCGGCAGGAGGCGAGGGGACACTTCTGCCCTGAGTGACTCGGTGGGCTCAGACATTTCTCCTTTCTCAGCCTCTATTCCCCATCTGTAATATGAAAACCTGAGAGGCTTGAACTGCATGACTTTTAAGGTTCTAAGGGCCCTCCCAGCCCTGACATTCCCTGTTCCAAAGGCCCTCCCAGCCCTGACATCCCGTTCCAAAACCCCTCCCAGCCCTGACATTCCCTGTTCTAAAGGCCCTCCCAGCCCTGACATTTCCTGTTCTGAGGGCCCTCCCGCCTCTGACATCCCCTGTTCCAAAACCCCTCCCAGCCCTGACATCCCCTGTTCTGAGGTCCCTCCCAGCTCTGAGGTTTTGCAGCCCCCTGAGTCCAACACTTTGCTCTTCATTATGTCCTTTGATCACTGAACACTGTTCCAAGAGGGTTTTTTGTCCAGACCATCAGTGTTGAGAACTCTTCCCACGGCAGCTCCATCTACACTAGGCTGTGCCTCGGTGTTGCCTCACAGCTATAGACCATCCCTCCCCTGACCCGGTGTCCCTCCATCCCACACTTGAGGGGTTTCTATTCCTGTTTTATTGAGGAGGAAACACCATTGACAGAAGTGAAGGGGCTCTGCCAGTCACTGGCAGAGCAAAGCCTAGAACCCAGGTGTCCTTAGTGCCGGCCTAGGGCTCGTTCTGCGACTCCCCTTTGTGGCAGCCGGGGAGGTGAGGAGGGGTTCAGAGAGGCCTCAGAAGGCATGGCTTGAGGGGGGCAGGGGTCAGGGACACAGGCTGGACCCTCGACCATCCCTCCTCCCCCTCTCTCTGGCAGTCTCTGGCCAACATGGTGTCAGCCACGGTGCGGGTGTGCCGGGCCCTCAGCTTGCCCCCTCAAGCCTTCGAGCTACCCCTGGCCAACAACCCCCAACTCAATGTCACCATCTCGCCTCCAGTGGCCCACACAGGCCCGGGCCCTGTGCTGGTGCGACTCATCTCGTACGACCTTCGCGAGGGCCAGGTGCAGGGCAGGGGACTCCTGGGCACCTCCCCGTCCTGCCCCCTATTCCCCACCCAGCATGTCATCCCCCAGCCTTCTATTCATTCCTCATTGTCCCCCTCTCCGGGCCCATCCGTACCCTCGGCCATCCCGTGGCCCTACCCATCCATCTCCTTTTGGGCTGTTCTCCTGACTAACCCTTGACTTCTACGTGCCTTGCCTCCTTGCCCATCTACTTTCTGTCTCCCCTCCCTCAGCCCCCTTTCCCCCCATCTCTTCCATCTCTAATCCCCCTCCCCCCCTCAGGCTGTTCCTCATCTCCCCTTCCCTCCAAGCAATGAGGCGGGGGGCCGTGATTTAGGGGAAGCGGGGGGCAAGGTGGGGAGCAGGCACCCATCTCCTTTGTCCACCCTCCCCCAAGGACAGCGAGGAACTGAACATCCTGGCCCGGTCTGAGGGCCCCCGGACCCTGGAGCTGTGGCCTCGCACCCACCACGCCCCGCGCTCCAAGTCTCTGGTCATCCACATCCATGGCGGTGGCTTCGTGGCGCAGACTTCCAAGTCCCACGAGCCCTACCTCAAGAGCTGGGCCCAGGAGCTGGGGGTGCCCATCCTCTCCATCGACTACTCCCTGGCGCCCGAGGCCCCCTTCCCTCGGGCCCTGGAGGAGTGTTTCTACGCTTACTGCTGGGCCCTCAAAAACTGTCACCTCCTGGGTGAGCCAGCCCTGACCCCCGGGAGCCCTGGACCCAGCCCCTCTCCCCCCAGGATGCCCTGGCTGCCTGGCCCCACCCAACTCACCTCGTGACCCGGGCCAGTGACTCCCTGACTTGTTCTCAGCAGCCCCAGCCTTTCTGCCTTCTGACCTCTGTCCTTAGCCGTTTGCTTCTCCCCCACCCACCGTGGAGCCCAGTCGCAGCCCCCCCATTGTTGGGGTTCCAGCAGCTGAGTCCCCACTTCCCATTGTGGCAGTGTGGACAGGCCCCTCCTCAGGCGCTCAGTCACCCCTGACCCTGGGCAATGAGGGGGTTAGGCCTGACAGCTTCTGAAGTCCCCTGCACCCTAAATCTATGACCGTCTGACCTCGGCCTCCCTAACTTCTGGCAGCACCCCACTTTCCCAAACTGATTCCCTGCCCACACTTCCCCCACCTCCGACCTCCATCCTCCCAAGTTCTCCAGTGACTTCCTGAATTCCCCAAGCTTCCCAAACTCTGACACCCCCCAAAATTCAGCCTCTGACCCCTGACCTCTGAGTATCAGCCACCAATGCCAGGGGCTCCTGGGTTCAGAAATCCAGACTGGGAAGAAACCCTGACTGCCGCAAGCCCTGGCCCCTCACGTTACATTGAGGGGACGGAGGGGAAGTGACGGGTGGGTGACCTGGACGCTCGTAAGGTGGAAGGAGCCCCAGAGGAGGACGTCAGAGCTAATCCCACATTTCTCAGATTAAGAAACTGAGGGCTAGGGAGAACCGTCCAGAGCCCTTTGGTTAACAAGTTAGGGACGAGGCTCGTGTGAATCCGGATTTGCCGAGTGCTCCAGAACGCGTTGTACCCTCGGCCTCTCGTCCCCCAGCGCCCGCAGCTGAGCCCCGGCTCTGTCCCCAGGCCTCAGCTGCCCCGGGCAGGGCAGTGACCTCTTCTCCTTTGCCTCCCCCCAGGCTCGACGGGGGAGCGGGTGTGCCTGGCGGGGGACAGCGCTGGCGGCAATCTCTGCTTCACTGTGTCCCTGCGGGCAGCGGCCTACGGTGTCAGGATGCCCGACGGCATCATGGCTGCCTACCCAGCCACGATGCTGCAGGCCTCGGCCTCGCCTTCGCGCCTCATGAGCCTCATGGACCCCCTGCTCCCCCTCAGCGTCCTCTCCAAGTGCCTCAGTGCCTATGCCGGTGAGGTTGGGGTCCAGGTGCCAGGGGCACCAGAAGGGTGGGAGCCGGTGGGCAGGACCCCCAAGGAGAGCACAGGTGTGGAAAGCTAGAGGGTGAGACCTCTGGGGAGCGAGAATGGGACCATCGGAGGGGAAGGAGGATGACTAAGGGGACCCTTCTCTTCCCTCTCTACCAACCACAGGCGTAGAGCCCGAGGTCCAGGAGGCCCAGGAGCAGCAGGCCCTGGGCGTGATGGGGCTGGTGAAGAGGGACACAGCCCTGCTGTTCCGGGACCTGCGGCTGGGGGCCTCCTCCTGGCTCAACACCTTCTTGGAACTGGGAGGCCGGCGACCCGCTGACAAATCCCCGCCAGCAACAGGTGAGTTCACGGCCCGGTTCGGTCCCGAGCCTCTTGTGTGCCAGGCACAGTGCTTGCCGTGGGGGCACTGTGACCAAAGGAAACAGTCGCCGATATTCCCACACCTTCCCTTTAGAGAGGAGGACGCAGACCCAGACAAAGTCATGGGGTTCTGTTCTGGAACTGCGAGGCCTTCAGTGAGACCCTCATGAGAGGAGCGGGTGGGCCCCCGACCCTGCTGGGATAGTTCTGTTCTAGGGCGCTGCCAGCTCTGACGCTCTGTGATTCTTAGGCCTAGGCTGGGACCCTCCGAGCAAGAGAACGAGGGAGGAGTACAGGCCAACCTGGGGAGTGGGGATGGGGGACGCAGGCCAGGAGGCCTTGGCTTCATGGCCAGGTAGGCCTAGGTTGTGACTCCCTTCCCCTGCTCCCCTCAGGCTCCATTTCCTCACCTGGAAAATGGGGCAGCACTTACTTCCCAAGGCTCCAGGGAGATGATGTGTGGAAATCTCGGGGAATGTTACGTCCTGCCCTGTGGAAACGGGATGAGATCTGTTACTGGCTCAAGAGAACAGCGCGAGGGGCAGTGGGGGGAGCCAGGCAGATTGGCTCTGATGTAGGAGCCCAGCAGCTGTCCCCAAGTGGAGTGGGGGGGGGACCAGCAGAGAGTGAGCTTCCCACCCAGAGGATGCTGGGCTCAGTGGCCTCCACAGTCCTTTCCCAATGAGTCTGGATCGTGGGATTCCCTGTGGCCTGGGAAGAGGAGGAAGGGCTCAACCACATCCTTCCTCCAAGATGGCGGCGGGAGACCCTGGAGTTGGGGGGAGGGGGTGATGCCCAGAGTTCCTCTCTGGAATGTTTCCAGGTTTATGGATGAAGGGCCCGAGGTTCATATGGAGGTTAAGTGACATGCACGAGCACCTGGAACTAGAAAGTTGTCAGAGTCTGAATTTGAACTCGGGTTCCCCGAGCCAGCTGGGGTGGGGTGGAGATAGGGATCCAGCAGCCGGGGAAGGTGGGAGAGAGAGATGACGAGGAAGAAGTCAGAGACCAGGGAGGAGAGGAAGGGGCCCAGACTGGTGCTGGAGAGAGAATGGACAGAGCAGGTGGAACCCAGTGGCTGCATCCTGGCTCTCAGAGGGGCCCAGAGGGAGAGCCCGAAATGCCCGGAGGCCACCTGGGCCCACCCAGGCCCAGAGAGGGGAAGGGGCTTGCAGTCCCACAGCCATTCAGGGCCAAGCTGGGGCTCGCTGCCGTCCTGTGCCCTGTAGCTGGGAGCCTGACATCCCAGCTCAGCCCAGGCCCAGGAGGGGGATGCAGGGGCGGAGAGCTCACTACCTCCCTCCCTCCTTCCAGAGACCATGCGCCGGAGCGTGTCCGAGGCTGCCCTGCAGGAGCCCCCCAGCCTCCCCAAGGACTCCACTAAAAGTCTGACCTTACAAGACCTGAGCCTGGTGGGGGGCCCCACCCCCCCGGTCCTATCCTCGTCAGAAGAGACCCTGCCATCGGCCTCTCAGGAGGTGAGCTTCTTCCTGCCCCCCTCGGGGGCCGAGGACAATGCCACGGAGGAGAATGAGGACGAGGAGGAGGAGGAAGAGAGCGGGGAGAATGTGGGCCACCTGGGCTCTGCCTTCCCCCACGGCTTCCAGCCCCGGCGCTCCAGCCAAGGCAGGGCCAACCTGTCCCTGCAGATGTCCCCCATTGTCAAGAACCCCTTCATGTCCCCGCTGCTGGCCCCTGACTCCATGCTTCAATCCCTGCCCCCCGTGCACATCGTGGTGAGCTGATGTGGGGGGAGGGGAGGACCGAGGGCTGAGGAGAAGGGGCTGAGATGGGGGGAGGGGGGAGTGAGGGCCGGGGAGAAGGGGCCAAGGTGGGGGGAGGGGGAGGAGAGGAGTTGAGGAAAGACCCAAGGAAAGGGACCAAGGTCTAGGGTGGAGAATCATTTGTGGGGAAGTAAAAGGTCCAGAGAGGGAAGGGGGAGGAGCCCCTCCTAATGACTGGCTCTCTCTCCCCCTCCCTCCATCTCTCTCTGTCTCTGTCCCCCTCCCTCCATCTCTCTGTCTCTGTCTCTGTCTCTCTGTCTCTCTCCCCCTCCTTCCATCTCTCTCTCTCTGTGTCTCTCTCCCCCTCCCTCCATCTCTGTCTGTCTCTCTCCCCCTCCCTCCATCTCTCTCTCTTTCTCTGTCTCTGTCTCTCTGTCTCTCTCCCCCCTACATCTCTCCCTCTCTTTCTCTGTCTCTGTCTCTGTCTCTCTCCCCCTCCCTCCTCTCTTTCTCTGTCTCTCTTCCCCCATCTCTCTCTTTCTGTCTCTGTCTCTCTCCCCCTCCTTCCATCTCTCTCTGTGTCTCTCTCCCCCTCCCTCCATCTCTGTCTGTCTCTCTCCCCCTCCCTCCATCTCTCTCTCTTTCTCTGTCTCTGTCTCTCTGTCTCTCTCCCCCTACATCTCTCCCTCT